CGGGCGGAGTGTCGCGGCTGAGCGCCTTGTGGCCCATGTGTCCCGGATCGCGGCGGTGAGCGGCGCGTGGCGCAGCCACCTTCGTCCTGAGCGCCCGGCCCTCGGCGCCCCCCGGAGCCCTGGTTTCTGCAAAGACCCTGGCCCGCTCTGCTCTGAGCTGCTCGAACTGTGTGAGAAGAACCTGCTGAAATCTGTTTTTTGAATAAAAACTTTTTCCAAGTTTCCGTTTGGGGATTTTTGCTTTGTTTTTCTGGGTGCAGTTTGCAGTACTCTCTACCTCCTTGTCTCCTTTTTCCTCCTGGCTTATTATCCGCGGGGCGGACCTGGGATGAGCGTTTCGTAATTTCAAGTAGAACTGTGAGAAGCCACGTCGGAATAGTACTCAAGATGGACAAAAAGTCCTTTGAAACGGTGCTGGATGAGATTCGGAAGGTAATTGACCTTGGTCCCTAAAAATCTTCTGAGATAATTGTCCGTGGGTTACATTCTTTGAGGTATTTGTATGTAGGTGATGCAAAATAAGAGTCATCGAATGGTCAGAGGTACTTGAACTTTCCTGTGTAATGTTAAGAGCTTGGGACAGAAATAGAGGATTTTTTTTTTCAAAATGGTGATAATAAGAGCTATTAATTAGTAAGCACTTCCTGTTTGACTTCAGCTTCCTAGTCTGTGGAGTTTGGTGGTGTACTCCTGAGTCTACATCTGGCAAGCCAACCCTCCTTAGGTAGTAGCTCTTTTTCACCTGGCAGTCTGCTATTAAAAGTATGTAACCCTGAGTTCCATGCCCTGTGTGTGGGGCCACAGCTGGAACTCTCCAGCATTGGGGGAAGATTTGAAACATGATTGGTGTCATCAGCTCAAGCCAGGATTTGGTCCTGAACCTTGCTTTTTCACTGTCTCTGTAATGATAATGATCACACGCCTTAAAGCTCACTACCCAGAATGCATTGTAAAAGTTAAACTGTTGAGCACCTTTGAATGTTTTTGACTGGTCATTGCATTTGCTCCTAGCAGAATTATATATGAGAAATACCACCAGTATTATATCTGTTTGTAGTGAGGAGAAAATGGCTGGTTGGTATTTTATGGTGAGTGGCTTGCAAGCTAGGATTGTTTGCATGGTCTTTCCCTCTCTGAGAGGAAGACTATGTGATGTCCATTAGCCCTGAATAGTTTCTAGGTCAGAGGCTCCAGAGAGAGCAGCCGTTTATCAAGCACCTACTGTGTGTCAAGTTCTGATTACTAGGACCTCACTACAGCTGGTTGAGGATTATGATTGGGATCCTCCTTTATGAATGAGGACACAAGCCCTAAAGTGGCTGCTGAGGGCCACATTGCTAGTTCCAGGCCAGCCTGGGCTACATAGTGAGACCACTCTAGGAAGAAAAAAGGAAAAGGAAAAGGCATGGCAATTTGTATCAGCTAGAGATACTTTGAAACTAATTAGATATTCAGGAATTTGATACATAATTTCTACTAGTGTTGACTCTGTTACAATGTTATTCCTTTTGTGTAAGTGTTCATGGAGACCCAGCAGGTCAAAAAGGTAGGATTTCTCCTTGCCCTCTTTGCTGCTGCTCCCCGCCTGAGCTGAGTAAGACCAGCCCCTATCAGGTTGTGTGTATGTGTGTGTGGAAGGGGATAGTGTAGTGTGGGTAACTGCATGTTAACACACTGCTGATACATTGATTCTTTTTTTCCCCTTTTCTAGGCTGTTTTGACAGAATATAAATTAAAAGCAATTGAATATGTTCATGGGTACTTCTCCAGTGAACAGGTATTTGTCATTCTTCAAAGCCTTTTTGTACTAGTGTTGCAGTTAATGTCTGTTTGCCCACTGGATACATTCAGAATTGCTTTGACTTTGTTGCTTTCTTTGCTGTGGAGCTACAGAAGCTCTCAGATCTGGCCCAAGGCTTTACAGAATATATGCATGGGGCAGCTTATTGCTGTGCACTTACACCACAATTCCTACTCAAAGGCGATTTAAAAACAGTATCTTCTTAAAAAGCAACTTAAACTGCCAGTTATTCTGGGGGAAAAAATATCAAAAGTTTATGAACTTGGGGCTCAAGAGATGGTTGGATGTTTTAAGAGCCCTTTCTGCTTTTGCAGAGGACCGATGTGTCTCAGCACCCACATGGTGGTTCACAACCATCCAAAACTCTACTCCCAAAGCATCTGATGCCTTCCTGGAGCACCTGGCTCAGGTGTGGTGCACATATGTACTGCAGGCAAGACATTCATGCACATAAATCATAGCCTTTAGTAGCAACTTTATAGTTTATGAATTTGTAAATCTTACTAAATTTGTATAGTATTTAGAATAGTTTTGAAATCCACTGTTTGACTAAAGACAACACGACTAAATGCTGAACTGTGTGCTCCACAGCCAACAGGCTGAGTCCTCCTTGCTCTCTTGAGGTGCTTCTTTAAGACCGTGGCCCAGGGTGAGGGAACCCGCATGCTCTTTGTGACACAGACTGCTGACTGGCAGCATGCATCCCTTGCCTGGATGCCTCTGTTTGGGGGTGGTGGTAGGAACCCCTGCGATCCTATCTCTCTGACTTTCACAGCGCAGTGCTGAGGTAGATCCATGACTGACTGCTGTAATGTGCTCCACGGATTAGTAGAATAAACCCAAGGGCGGAAGTGGAGCTGCAGACCTTCACTCAGTCACCACACACAGTGGCGAATGAACGGAGCTGCCGCCCCACGATGTGTCGTTTCCGTTCTGTTCGTTCGTAGTGTGTTTCCACATCACCAAGCCAGTGTTCCATCTTCACCTAACTTTTCGACGTCCTGCTCTTTCAGCATATGCCATTTCCTGGATTCCTTATTACTTTCTTTTAATAATTTATTTGTGATACTAAAGATTAAGCTCCAGAGCCTTGTCCATGCTGGGCAAGTGCCCCTCCACTGAGCTACATCCCAGCCCTCTTTTTTTTTTTTTTTTTTTGCTTTTTGCTTTTTGTTTTGAGATGGAGACTTGCTTAGTTGCTGAGATGACCTTGAACTTAAGATTCTCTTGCCTCAGCCTCCTGCCTATCTGGTGTTCACAGTCATGCACTGCCAGGCCAGCTCTGGATTGTATGTCTCCTTTATTTAGAAAAGAAAAAGATTGGGTAGATCTCTGTGAGTTTGAGGCCAGCCTGGTCTTCAAAGAGAGTTCCAGGACAACCTCCAAATCTACCAAGAAACCCTGTCTTGAAAAACAAAACGAGAGAGAGAGAGAGAGAGAGAGAGAGAGAGAGAGAGGAAAAACATGTATTGGGTTGGGGCTAGAGAGATGGCTCAAAGGTTAAGAACACTGGTGCCCTCTTTTGGTGTGCAGAACACTACATACAAGATAAATAAATAAATCTTTAGAAAGAAAGAAGAAAACCATGTATTGTGGGGAGTGAAGAATGCCACCTCATTCATGTAGTGATGTGAGAACAGCTTGTAAATCTTGAACCCTTGATATGAGGCCTGTGCTGCAATGGGACTGAAGTTTTAAGTTTTACTGAAGTGGCTGTACTTGTCACAGACTCTGTTGCCATGCCCATCTTCCACACATGGTGACAGGAATTCCAAGTATTAGAATCTGTTTTAAAGGAATGTGTGCAGACACTGTCATCAGAGCTGAAGTAACTCTTTGCTTGCAGGTGGTTGACCTCCTAAGGTATTTCTCCTGGGCAGAACCACAACTGAAGGCCATGAAAGCCCTACAGCATGTGAGTGACCCTCCCTTCACCCCCATGTGCCAAGTACCAATGTTTCATTCCCCCATCTTTGTATAATCCAGATCAAGTTGTGGTTTGTGTCAGAAAGCTAACCTTAAATCCCATTATACTTTGAAACTCCAAATAACTATGTTAAAAAGTGTGAAATTGCATTGTGCTACTATTAAAATTCTGTACCAGTTCTAACTGGCAAATTGGGGGAAGATGCTTATTGCAAAGCAGAGTTCTGGGATTTAGACCCTTAGGATTCAGGCTCTGAGCATCTCCCACCATGCATCACTGTAAAGTAAAGAAAGCCCCGTCATAGGGAAAGAAGATATTCTGTTCTTTCCCTGACCGTGACTCCTGTGCCTTGCACCATGAGTTGAGTCACCTGTGTACATGCCAGCTTTGCTGATGGCCATTCAGAGGAGCTTACACTTGGTGCAGGTGAGCACATTGGAAAACAGATCTAAAACACGTGTGCAGAACTTAGACCTGCTTCTGAAATGATTGTACTAGAAGAGTCCAAGTATAACTCAGTATTTCTAGGATTCCCTTGAGTTGCTGGGGCTTACTTTCTGCTTTTGTTCTTCTTGGCTAAGTGTAGTCTATGTCCTGAAATGTTTATACTACCAACTTAATTATAGTCCCCCCAAAGCACAGAGGTCTGGCTCAGAGTCTCATGTTGAAACACATTATGTTTTGTGATAGAAAATGGTGGCTGTCCACCCAGCAGAAGTGGTCAGCATCCTCAGCTGTTTTACATTTAGTAAAGACAAGCTGGCTGCGCTGGAGCTCTTGGCCTCGTGAGTACTCACTCTCTTTATTGCCTGTTCAAATCTGGGATCTTACTGGCCTTTTAAAGTCACTGATCTGTGTTAGTGTAAGAGTTACTTGAGGCAACAGAATGCTAATGAAATAGTCTATGGAAAATGATCTCTGTTAATATGTCAATTGTGTAAGGAAGCAGAGCTCTAATGAAATAATCTGTGAAAGCCCCTTGGTGTGATAGCACACATCTGTCATCTCAGAACTTAGGCTGAGGCAAAGGACCCTGAGTAAGACAGTAAGAACCTATTTGCAAACAAAACAAAAGAAAAAAAAAATGCCCACACTCTGTGAAAGCATTGTACTGGATTCTTGGATCTTTTACATAGTCCACACCCCTGTGCTTCCTACATATGTAGACATGGCTCGAAGCCTAAAGGCTGTTTCACACCCCTGCATTTCAGCGTTTGCTTTACCTCCTTCCAATCCTGAGTAATTCAGAAAGCAAACTGATAAAAGGATAGGATGTTTATTGAGGAGGGTACCTATAACCTCAGAGCCTGCAATTACAAAAGTGATAAGAGTGATGTCAGGCTGTGCAGTGCTCCACACTTGACATTTGAGAACCATATGTAAGCATGAGACTGAAGAGAAGGGACCATTAGGCAAAGTTTAAGAATGGGCAAGTTGTTTATTCATAGGCAGTTTATTCTACAGTCCAGTATGTGCTGATAAATCATAAACACAAAACATGTCATAAAGACATGTCTGACCTTTGTGTATGTGTGCCTGGATCCTCACACAGAAGCTAAGTCATATTTCCTTGACAGAAACATTGTGGATGCACAGAACTCCCGACCCATTGAAGACTTATTCAGGATCAACATGTCAGAGAAGAAACGGTGCAAGAGAGTCCTGGAGCAGGTAATCCTTACAGTTTCTGTGCAGATGCCATGCTGGATTCGGGTATTGGTGAATAGTTACTCACCTGCCTCACTGTGGCAGTGCTGGGGACAAACTTAGACATGGATATTCCTGTTCGAGAGGGAGCACAAGTAGGACCTTTGCAGAAAAAGCTGTTGGGGGCAGAGATCACAGGAGTGAAATCCATTGGTGGTTCACCCTGCAGGGCACTGTAGAGCTCTGCCAGGGGGCCAAGCATTTTCTCCTCATATGCTTGGGAACAATGTTGGAGATGTTTTAAAGTTGGAGGCTGGATTATACAATTAATGTCATTGTGTATATTGGGAATTTATAAAAATAATTATAAATACAAATAGCATCCCTGTAAGTACTTTGATATGAATAAGACTCTTATAAGTGCTGCACATATTAACCTTTTTTTCCTATAATACAGTATACATCCACTGGAGTATATTTGCCTTACAAAGCACTGAGCATCTTAAAAGATGTGGGTGCAATGTAAACACCATAGACCTAAACCTATTCATTCCCTGTATCTCACAGATGAACACTGTAATAAGTCATTCTTACTTTTTCAGTAGTCTAGCTCTTTGGGGTTTTTTTTGGCGGGGGGAGGCGGGGGGAGTTTCTTCGAGACAGGGTTATTTGTACCTTTGGAGGCTGTCCTGGAACTCACTCAGTAGACCAGGTAAGCCTCTATCTAACTCACTGAGATCCACCTGTCCCTGCCTCCCAAGTGCTGGGATTAAAGGCATGCACCACCACCACCCAGCTTTTGGGGTTGTTTTTTAAGCTTTCAAAAATGATTTGCTGACTCCCCAAGGAAGGCCTTACTCCCTCTGAGGAATGGATGGGGTATGGGAATGGGGGATGTGGGGGAACCGGAGGTGTGGGGGGGGTATGGAGTTGGTATAAAAAATGAAAAAACTTTGTCTTTTTTTTTTTTTTAATCTTTATTTATTTATTTATTTATTTATTATGTATACAGTGTTCTGTTTGCATGTACCCCAGCATGACAGAAGAGGGCACCAGATCTCATTATAGATAGTTGTAAGCCACCATGTGGTTGCTGGGAATTGAACTCAGCACCTCTCGAAGAACAGCCAAGTGCTCTTAACCACTGAGACATCTCACCAGCCCAAAAAAACTTCTTAAATAAAAAAAAAGTTTGTTTTACTTTTACTTTTATATGTGGGTATGTGCACGTGCGTGTGAATGCCTGTGAAGGTGCCAGATCACCTGGTACAGTAGTAACAGTGTGAGTTGCCCGATGTGGATTGGGACCAGGTCCTCTGCAAAAGCAACAAGTGCATTTTGCTGAACCACCCCATTATTTGTATGTGTGTTTTTTAACTTCGCTGTAAACATTTTCAGAGCAATTTCATTCACATGAGCCAGGCTTGTGTAGTGTTGGACATTTTTTCTTGATACTTAACTAAAGAAATGGAACAGGGACTCACTATGTAGACCAGGCTAGCCTCAAACTCATGGATCTACCTGCCTCTGTATCCTGGGTACTGGCATTAAAGGTGTGCGCACCACACCCTGCTGCTAGATAATGGACTTTTCTTGAACCTGTTGCTTATAGCACTAGTGATGGTGGTTTGGTAATGTAGCCATGGTAATGATTCCACAATAATAGCTCACTTCTTTGGACACCATTCATGTAGGTTCATGGTGATTGATGGGTGAGTATGTGAATGCTATTCTCTTCCTTAATTCATGGCTTTAGCTAGACTTCCTGTTATCTAGAATACATGATGTAATGAGTCTGATTTTTGTTAATCACTTTTTTTTTTTTTCTTTTTCATTACAGGCTTTCAAAGCAGGCTGCAAAGCCCCTCATGCCATGATATCTTCATGTGGAACCATCCCGGGAAACCCCTATCCCAAAGGAAAACCCAGCCGAATCAATGGGATTTTCCCCGTAAGCATGCTTTTACACACATGAAATTTCCCATGACTAAGTGTGACTGTAGCACAGATCTGTGCATGTATGTGTTACATACAAGAACATGCCATCTTATGATGCTTTTACAAAGGGAAGGAGTCTCATATCTTTAATTTAATTGATAGACAGTTGAAAGTTCATGTATAAATGCCATTAACTATTACCTTCAGAACACAGCAGACAAATAGGAATTTTGCTTTTTCTTTTCTAAGTAGTGTCAGTATTTTTGACAGTTGTGTATCTGAGAACCCATTTTGGAAACTGCATGAAGCCTGTAAAAATCTTGTTTGGATACTAGTGAGTGGCTCACTTAAATGCCTGGCAAGTTAATGTTGCTTGTTGTCAGGAGTTTATTCCTCACAACAAGGACTTCAGCACCCTCATGACATGGTAGCTAGTTTCCATAGTGCATGGATCCAAAGGGAGGCAGGGGCAGCTTCAGCAAAGCCTCTTTAGGGCTTGACTTTGGAAGTCAGTGCCATTCTTTAATGTCATGTTAATGATACAAGTCAGCCCTAGTTATTCTGAGATAGATGTGGGAGTCAAGGACCAGTGGGGCCATCTTAGAAGCCATCCTCCACCTACATGCCATCCTTCCCTCTGTCATCCATGGCACAGTAGGGTTAAGAGGAGATCAGGCAACTAGCTGGGGCAGGATTGGGTCTAGAATCCATGACTTATTCCAGGCAAGTTAAGTCCCTTTCTTCAGAATGAAACAGTGTACTTGTTTGTTATTGTCTAAAGTCTCAACTATCTTTATCTTTTTTTTTTTTTAAGGGAACTCCTCTTAAAAAGGACGGTGAAGAAAGTACCAATGAAGGCAAAGGAATAGCAGCACGAATTCTTGGACCATCCAAACCAGTATGTGTTGAAATAAAAGAGGAAACAAGTGTTAATTCCTATATATGTAGCTTTATGTATAAAGTAGTTTTTTGTGTATTGAAAAGTTTAAATGTAGTAGAAATTACAGATTAGAGAGAATGACCTAGGCTAGGTAAGTACTTAGTAGTGTTCATGGATCTTTGGAGGGTAAATGTTTTGTCCAACCACATTCCTCCATTCAGATGAAGGTTGGGATGTGCTGTGTATTTTAGACAGGGTTCTGTCGGTTAACTAGTGTTAATATTAGTGAAACAGCTGGGCTTGTCCTTTCAAGGGGTGATTGTGATGACTGGGAATGTAAATTGAG